TTAAAATGTGCAAGTTCATTACTTGAAAACTTAAAGTTTCAATTTAAATATTACAAAATGTCCATAATAGTTGCAATATGAAAATCATACCTTAATGGGTTTCAAAATTTTAATTTTCAAAACCCACGCCTAGATTAATTCAGACATAAATTTTGAAACATGGAGGAGAAACACAGGCTTTGAATCATTTTGCTAGCGCTTCATAACTAAAAGTGTTTTATTGTATAGATTTCAAAAGCTTTTTAAATTGCTCATTACTTATCATCTAATCTCTAAACTTAACTACAAAATTCATATGTATTACATATCGAACACCTAAACTTTGCTCTGCACATTTATGCCACGTAAATCTTTTATATCTCATTAAAAAATACCATCATTTTTGTTAATTTGAGAATAGAACCAATTATTTTCTCATTGATGCAAAGCGGGGTATAAATACCCATTACAGGATCTACTAGTAGGGAAATATATAAAGACTGGATAAAATAGAAAAAGGAAAATAATAATAAAGAACCCAAACTAAGAATAAACAAGAATTAATAATGACTAAAACTAGCCATTAATAAATATTCTATTACTCCCTCTCAAGTTGGGTAGATGCCAATCATGTTTAACTTGAATTTGAAATCAACAAACAGTCGCTGAGGAATGTTCTTTGTGAGAATATCAGTCAGCTGGCCACTAGATGACACAAACGAAACACAAATTTTCTTTGACTCGAGTTTTTCCTTAATGAAGTGTCGGTCAATCTCAATATGCTTGGTGCGATCATGCTGGACTAGGTTGTGAGCATGCTAGTTGCCGCCTTGTTATCATAAAACAACTGTAGGGGAGTGCAGACTGTCATATGTAATTCATTTAGCGTGGTCACAGTAACCAGAGTGCTTCATATATTCCCATTGACATGAACTTAAATTTGGCTTCCTCATCGCTCCGAGCAACTACAGACTGCTGCTTGCTGTTCCATGTGACCAGGTTTCCCCACACAAATGAACATTGCGTAACCAGAGTGCTTCATAAATTCCCATTGACATGAACTTAAATTTGGCTTCCTCATCGCTCCGAGCAACTACAGACTGCTGCTTGCTGTTCCATGTGACCAGGTTTCCCCACACAAATGAACATTGCGTAACCAGAGTGCTTCATAAATTCCCATTGACATGAACTTAAATTTGGCTTCCTCATCGCTCCGAGCAACTACAGACTGCTGCTTGCTGTTCCATGTGACCAGGTTTCCCCACACAAATGAACATTGCGTAACCAGAGTGCTTCATAAATTCCCATTGACATGAACTTAAATTTGGCTTCCTCATCGCTCCGAGCAACTACAGACTGCTGCTTGCTGTTCCATGTGACCAGGTTTCCCCACACAAATGAACATTGCGTAACCAGAGTGCTTCATAAATTCCCATTGACATGAACTTAAATTTGGCTTCCTCACCGCTCCGAGCAACTACAAACTGCTACTTGCTCTTCCATGTGACCAGGTTTCCCCACACAAATGAACAGTATCCCGAGATAGATCACCAATCACAGATGAATTCGACCCAATCTGCGTCGGTGTAAACTGCAATAGAACGAGAGATGTGGTGGAAAAAAAATAAACCTGAGCCCGATATACCTTTTAAATAGTGGAGAATTCGGCAGGTAACTTGGAGATGATGCTCATAAGGATCATGCATGGATTAACAGACTATTTCAACTGCGTGACATATGTCAGGAGGTGTATGGGCTAGGCTAAGTTCCCCTACAAGACACTACATGAACTGTATTGGTAACATTAAAAAATTTTCCATTGGGATCTATCAACACAACCACTGGTTTGTACAGAAAAGATTGTTCTCTGTAAAAATGTTAATCGTATATTTTTGCTGAGATAGACAAATACCCTGAGAGGACCGAACAACTTCTATGCCTAAGAATTACCAGAGAGATATGAAGTTTTTCATTTTAAAGGAAGCAACAAGAATGCCTTTTAGAGACTCCAATGCTGGTAGATCATTATGTGTGAAAACAATATCGTCAACATAGGATAGCTAATCGGTTGTTGCCGGAATGCCGGAAGAAGAGAGTGTGGTCCGATTGAGCTTGGGTAAATTTATGGCCTACCACCACCTTTGTGAATTTCCTGAACCATGCCCGTAGTGATTGATTCAACTCATAGAGGGATTTTCGCAGTTTAAATACTTGCCCTTAGGCTTGGGAGGTAGTGTAGTCAAAGCTTGGAGGAAGAGCCATGCATACCTTCTCTGTAAGATCGCCATTTAGGAACACATTCTTGACATCAAGCTGAAAATAAGTGTCAATCCAGATTCACTGCAAGAGATAATAGGATCTGAATGGTGTTTAATTTAGCAACTAGAATAAATGCCTCTTCATTGTTAACTCCGTAGATCTGTGAGTATCCTTTGGCAGCTAACTGTGTGTATTTTGCATTCAAAAAACCTATAAGATTTAAACTTGATGTTAAAATCCATCAATATCTGACCAAAGAAAAATATATTGAGATTTTCATACCTCTTTTATACTGTTTTTAGTGATATTGCACTTTAAAGAAAAATATTTTTAATGTTTTGTTGCAGGAATGATGAATTAGGGTCAATAGAGCAAAAAGATGCAAAAAAGGAGCGAATTTGGAGCAAAAAAAGACCAAACTGTGGAGAATTGCACTAGGGCGCCGACAGCGCCATTGAGGCCGCCGACGACGCCATCGAGGCTGCCGGCCGC